TGACTCATATGGAGCAGGATACACGGGTAGCTTCCTTTCTGTGGTTTAAGGAAATAGGCCGTTTTAACTGTTCCAGAAAACTGTATTACTGGGCAGGGAATATTAGGGTAAACACAACCTTTTTGTTGTAAGTTACATCTGATGCTTTAAAAAATACACATTGACTTCCATAAATGAATATTGTCTTTCTCATCAGATAACTTCCAGGGCAGATATACTACACTCTGTGTGATTTAAAATACATGGTGAATTAAAATGATTTCTTAGACATAGCCTCTGAAAATGAGGGAAATAAATATAAACTGTGGTTTGTTGTCCAGCTGGACGTTCCTCCAAATTTGAGGAATACGAGTTTACAGTATAACTACAGTTGTACCATATCCTGAGGATTTGTGTCTGAACTTCCCTGGTTATTTCAGGAGAACAGTTGTTTATACTGTTTTTAGAAATACAGTATCATGTTTCTTGGTAGGAAATAATTGTATTATTGTTTTCTGTCTTTGGATAATAAGTCTATTTGGAATAATTTTTCTATTTTATAATGTAGAGTAAATTACACAGTATTATAGTAGCACTTTGAAATTCCTAGTTTATATTTAAATGAGCCTTCATTAATTTTTTTTTGTTTTTTTTTTTTATTTTTACACAAAGCTGCGACCGTTCTGCAAAGAATGATTTGTTTCTCGGTTTCTGCCTTTCTCTGTGTTTCTCTTTTTCTTGCTCCACCTCCTTCTTTCCCACAGAAAGCATTTCTGAAGAGGGGTGGGGAGAAGTGCCCCAAATTGTTTCCCTTATTCAAACTGTAGGTCCCTTGGAACCAGAATGTAGTACTGATGGTTCATATTACAGAAATACCAACCGAGTTCCTTAAATGCTGATCCCTAAAGGCTGTGGAGCTAAGAGCATTTTGCTACACCACAGTGCGCAATTCCACTGTATAGAACAGCAGCAGGAAAATGGCGTCCAGATTCTGCTGAAGAGCAAGGCCCACTTAATTTTTGAGAGAGAGACACAGAGAGAGAGAGGTTAAGGGGAGGAGATGGAATGGATGGTTCTGATATCTTCTTTTTATTATGGAGTACAGGAAAAAAAGGTCTAAATACACTTTTTAATTGTGAAAGTTTTCTTCCCCCCATCCAGAATCAGCCTGCTCCTTGTTGTCAAAGATACTATTCAAGCCCATACAATAAATGATGTTGGGAATGTTCTATGCTAGTTCTCTGGGCGTTTGCCAAGATACCTGATTGTGTATTATGTACAAGATCTTGGTTTGTTTTTGTTTTTTCTCCCCTTCTTCTTTCTTTTGGTTTATTTTTGCCTCACTATTCGTATCTAGGCCACGGCAGGGGCAGGGAAAGGGGCTGGAAGTGTAAGTGACATCTGGCCCACCCATTTAGGTGCCTTCCAGCCTCAGGTAGAAATGCGTAGGGATGGAAGACATGGTTGCCCAGTGAAGTCTGAAGATCATTGTTCATTCTCTCCCAGTCCTCAGGGTTTTTGCCCCCTAGGCAGGCCTAGACCTACCCTAAGAGAGAATTTCCACGTGGGAGGCCCTATCCTTTGCTGTATCTATAACAGGAAGGGAGGTTGGCAGAATTTAAGTAGGTGAATTTAATATGTAGATGATTAATGTGAAAACTCCATATAAATTGTTATGTGCTATATTTGGAGCCCTCGTGGTATAGTGGTTAAGAGCTCGGCTGCTAACCAGAAGGTCAGCAGTTCGAATCCACCAGCTGCTCCTTGGACACCCCATGGTGCAGTTCTACTCTGTCCTGTAGGGTCGCTATGAGTCGGAATCGACTTGATGACAACGAGTTTGGTTTTGTTTGTTGTTTAATGTAAATATTCCGTTTCCTTTCTTCTTTCTCTTCCTTATGCTGCACCATTATTCCTCCCGGGACATATTCTATGATGTTGTTCTGTGGAATAAACAGCTCTCCAACCGCAGTCCTTGTTGCACCGTCTGACGTACACCTTTTGATGCTAACAGCCCATTGGCACTGAAATCGCGCCAGGATGTTAACCAAAAAATGGATTTGGGGAACGTTTGTTTACAAATCTAAAGTTAGCCTCTTATTTCAAGATGGAAAAGCCTTTTTTTTTTCCATACTTTCTTTCCTTTATCTCCTCATTTACTGATTCAGCCACCATTTATTTGTTGTTGAGTGGATTCTGGCTCATAGCAACCCTATAGGACAGAGTAGAACTACCCCATGGTGTTTCCAAGGAGCGGCTGGTGGATTCCAACTGCCGACCTTTTGGTTAGCAGCCTGAGCTCTTAACCACTGTGCCACCAGGGCTCCAACATTTATTTGTTCAGTGGAAAATAATAGAAAGATAAATGGGACATTGCTGCCCTCAGATAACTTATATTTTAGCAGAGGCGACAAAATGATTAAATCTAATCTAAACAGGTACCAGAAGATTAAATTGAAACCCTTTCCTACTTCTTGGGGTCCTGTAGCCCCCTCTTTGATTTTCATTACTGGAGCTGAGACCAGACACAGCAGAGCACAGACTTCTCGGAAAGGAGCATAAGATCTTCTTTTCAGTGTCCTGTCAGGCCACCAGATAGTTGAACAGCTACAGAATTAAATCCAGAAAAGTTAGGTGTTTCTACTTACTAATTAGGAATCTTCTAAAGTAAGAGTCACCTGAAAAGAGGTCCCTACAACTTACCATTGACTGTTGTCCCTGTGTGGTGCAACTGTATTGCACGCAGTTACTAACCTAAAGATTGGCAGTTCAAACCCACCCAACAGCACTGCGGAAGAAAGGCCTGGCGATCTGCTTTCATAAAGATTACAGCCAAGAAAACCCTATGTTACAGATGGTGTTGCCAGGAGTCAGAATTGACCAGATGGCAGCAGGTTTTGTTTTTGTGTTTGGAGGGGTGTTGTAGCAGCAGGGTTCAGCTACTTATACCTGATAACCGATGAATTATCTTGGAATATGGTGGGTTCTCCCACTACAGTAATACCACCAAGCAGGGGGAGCCCAGCCAGGTCTGCAGCACACAGCCTTATTAGGGAAGTGGGAGCTTTCCTACATCCAACAGGCGTCTCTCACAGACATATGGAACCTGATTTTTAATGAAAGATGTTCTCCATTGCCCATAATAGTGACAATTTTGTGTTTACTAAATTTCCCAGAAGGATTTGAGGAAGCTTCAGGTTCATCAGAGAAATGGCAACCCTAGAAAAGAAATTTGAGGCTGAAGTTTTTTTGTTTGTTTTTCTCCTGGTATCACCATATTTTTTTAAAAAGAAATTAGAATTTTGTTTGTGGTGGTAGTTTTGGTTTTCGTTTTAATAGAAGCATATACCTTTTCTATTTAAAAAAAATATACTTTACTGGGGTTTTTCTTCTGACTTAAGATAAAAGAAAGACAACATTTTGCTAAGTGAAGGAAGCCAGGCCCCCAAAAGCTACATGCTGTAGGATTCCGTTTATACGACATTTTGGAAAAGGCAAAACTATAGGGATTGAGAACAGATAAGTGATTGCCAGGAGCTGGAGGTGTGGGTGAGGGCTTGATGACTAAAGGGAAGCACCAGTGAATGCTGGGATTCATGACATGGTTTTGGGTCTTGGTCGTGGTGATTGCCTCACAGCTCCATGCATTTGTCAAAACTCAGAGCTGTACCACCAAGAGTGAATTTTACTGTTTGTAAATAGAAAATAAAATAAAAATGACCCCACAAAAAACCAATACATACATTCATTGTAGAAAATGTGTAAAATACTCAAAAAACAAAGAACAAAATA